TCTTCTTCCTCTTTCCTCTTACAAGTTTGCTTATGTCTTCCTCATCTCTAAAGACTCACCTTTCAGCACTTGCCTTCATTTTCCCTCTTTTTTCCTTTATGTCCTCGACGTTTACAACTGCTTTTTAAGTTCTGCACTTTTCTAAACTCTTCCAAATTGAAAATAGCCCTTTGCATTGAGTAAAATTGTTTTTGCCAAAGTTTCTAGCTAGCCCCTTCACTGATTTTCTGCAGCCTCTTTAGACATTTTTATCACAGATCTTGTCCTCCTTTCTTGGCTTCTAATAATGTTGCCCTCTCCTGACTAACCGCTTGTCTCTCAAATTACTCTTTCACTACTTTCTGAAAGAATCTCACCTTCCTGACAATTTTTTTTTTAAATGTACCAGTACAGTCCATCCTTGCTCCCCACCTTCCCCTATTTTTCACTTTATCCCCAACATCTCTTATCTGCAAATACAAATTGCGATATTTTTATACTGCTACTCTGGAGTGTTCTCTAGCTTAAGTTTATCTCCTCCTGTCGAGAAGGACTAGCCAGCATTTCAAGCTCAAACCATTCTCAGTCTCCACTCTGTCCACCTAACATTTTAATTTCTCTATCAGAACAGAAACTATTCTGCTGGACACATCAGCCCATAATCCAAACTTGATTTTTGATTTGAATTTCCTTCCACGTTTACTCATTTATGCAGGCTCTCTTAATTCCCCTACAAAATCATTTTTAAAACTTTCCTGCGGTGCAATAGCTATAAAACTTATTAACACTTAGAGAGTGGTTATGACACATCTGTAGCCTCACTACTACTGTTTCATCGTTTCCAGGCATGAAATCTCCCTTCATGACTTTTGTCTATAAGGTCTTTGCAGTAGGTACTATCTTTCTGTGCTGGGTTTTTGCAGCACCAAGCACAATATTGTCGTGGCTGAGAGTTACCAGTGCTACTCTAATCCAAATAACAGCAATACATACTGCTGTTTCACAAAGAAAGACAAAACAGATAGAAAATCTAACATTTGCTCCTCCAAATGCATGTGCTACTTGCATTAAAATGATGTCCCACCAAATAAAGTAACTGTTAAAACTATCTTTTCCTCTCTAGCTTACAGGTAGTCCTGGCTGTAGCCTCCATACAATTATCCAGTGGCCTTGCACGGCCGGGTATGTGGGGTTATCTGGGATCTCCACAGCCTACAACGCTCACCAAAAGATTTTACACATCATCAACTGATGGGGGCACTGAGCCACAGTTACCGCAGCTGTCAGTCCTGAAAGGGAGAGCTCTGCTCCCCCAGCCCCT